TCCATGCGCGGAGATGCAGCATGGGGTTTTGATTTCTACTTCTTTCCCTTCTACACAAACACACCAAAGCTGGTGGCAGCCCACAAGAGAATTAGAACCAGCTGAAAGTCTGCTTTTGTAAATATGTTGGTATCATTCATCTTTTTTCAGGACATCTGTTTTTTCTGCCCATCACCTTGGTTGGTCTACATCTTCCTAAGGGATTACATTCTCCAGATGGTGTTTTTCTCTGGTGGCTATAGCATCACCACGTGTAAATACAAACTATCAACGCGGCTGAAGATTTCTGGGGGCCCAAACCCCCATCCCTTGGAGTGATACAGAAACTAATTCTTCATGTTTGGTTGAGATTGAAGTAGTCAGTGAGACTCGGGTCTGAAGTTTTTCTGAGAAAGCTATCTTGATGCAGTACAATAGGGCTCTGTTACTGTACACTGCCAGGAAAGGGTGTGTTTCAGTTAATAAAATGGCCATGAAAATGAGATATATATTTTAAAGTTAAATTCATCCTAGAGATGGATCCAAGGACCTTCAATGTGTTATAAATGACGGATGAGATGATATAAAAGGTTACGATATGGCTTCTCCTGTTGAGGGACTGAAAGATGAGTCAGACGGTAACACAAAGCAATCACAAAACACAAGAGCCTGCCTGAGAAGCCCAGCCAAGAGGTCTTCTTAGGCATCAGAGAAGAACAGAGCCCTGAAGGTCACGGAATTGAAGGCTCTCAAGAAGGTTTGGAGGAACGGTTGCAGAGACAGCTTCCCATGATCCTGAGAACATGGAGGGGGCACATGTGGAGCAGTAAAGAGGCCTGGGGGTGTAGCGCTTGCCTAGCATGTGTGAGGCCCTGGGCTCGATCCCTAGCACTGCAAGAAACAAACACAGAAAGGAGATGTTCCAGGTAAGGGCCCCGTCTGAGCTTGCCAGGAGCAGGGATGAACAGGCAAGTGTGGGACATGGTAACACAGAAGCCCTGCTGGGGAGGTGGGGTGCTGCTGGGGATGAAGGAAGCCAGGGCAAGGCGGCTCTGTGAAGCATGGCTCTGGCATCTACCCTCTGGTCCAGGAGAGTGAGCTGATGACAGTGGCATTTAGAATGATCCATGTCGGAGCGGGATGCAGGGGAGCCAGATGGACTGCAGGGAGACCAGGGAGGAAGCATGAGCCTCCAGGGGGCTTTTCGAGGCCTGCTGCAGGATGCCCCGTGGTGGAGGAAGTCACTACTGAACCCATGCAGGCCCAGCTCTTTCCTCTTCTTTCTTCTGGAAATGTCGGCTGAGCGGGGCCACTGGTAAGGCACAGAGCTGGCCTTTCTCTGCTCTTCCTGAAAGCCTGAGCAGTCAAAGACACCTGCCTTCTTGCCGAGGGCAGTCAAGGGACACCTCTGTTAGAGCAAGGAAACTGGAAATGAAGCCCTTAGGCTGGGAGTAGGGATGGGAGAGGAACTAAAGAAGGAGAATTAACCTGAACTCCATTCTTGGCTTGTTTTACCTAAAAGTTATTGTTTCCAAGTGCTGATTAAAGCCTGTGGGAAATTCTGACCTCAGGGTTGCACTGGGGGAAATCAAGGCCGGAGCTGTCCCTACCAGGGTAGAGCTATAATTGGTGGGGGAGGGGGACATGGTGTGACCAGGAGTCTTCTGTGTTTCTTAGAACAAGACCAGGGAGAAACTCGGGACTCAAAGGGCTCCCAGGTCCCTAAACAGGTTTCCAGTTGCCACATTTGCTTGTCTTTTTGCTTGTGATTCAGAGACCTTGAGAAACAGCACTAGATTATGAGATTATATTTGTTCATTGGCTGCAGCTGCATTATATGGGAGAAAGTACCATCCTACTACATTTGAGGCTTCCCTGAGAACATTCTGGAAAAAAGAAATCTTGCATGTTAATAACTCCCCTCTCCATACCAGGGATTGAACTCAGGGTGCTTAGCCACTGAGCCACATCCCCAGTCCTTTCTATATCTTATTTTGAGACAGGGTTTCACTGAGTTTCTTAGGGCCTTGCTAAGTTGCTGAGGCTGGTTTGAACTCGAGATCCTCCTGCCTCAGCCTCCCAAGCTACTGGGATTACAGACATGCACCATGGTTCTGGAAACCACGTTAAAACACTCTTTTTCTCCCTCCTCATTCTGGTGCATGTTCTTAGCTTAAGGGCTATTTTACAAATGAAACCTTCCCCTTATTAAGAACAGATATGTAGTGAAAAATCTTTGTTTACAGCAGGAGTTGAAGTCTGATTAAGATGGTGCAGAAACAGGAGAGCAGGAGGCAGTGGCTGGGAAAGCCCTTGACTGCCCTTGGGAAAGCAAACCAGGTATTTTTTTCCCCCTCTCTCTTAACTATTAGAAAGTATGTCATGAAACAGCATCAGCCTTTTATACTATGAAGAAGCATAAAAGAAAGCTATACTGAAAAGCAACCAGGCTCTTGTTAGTTTTCTGGGCTTCCTGGGGGACCCTACTGCGCGCAGGCCTGCCCCTCTCCTTGCACAGAGCTTTCGCCATGCCGCCGAGGCTGGGTCCCCCGGGGCCTACAAGAGCACACCCAGACTTTCTGACCTCGCCTGTAAAGGCCTTTTATGGCCTGGTCCCTGCCTACCAGCACAGCCCCCTCAGGCGCCCATGTTCATAAATCTATGAACTCATGCTTCTCTCTAGACCTAGAGAAACTAACCATTCCTTTTTAATTTTTTTTCTTCTTTCTTTTCCTTTTGGATCTGCCATAAATGTCACCTTCTTCAGAAAACCTTTCCCCCTTAACTCTACCATCCCAAGTCTGGGTCAGGGGCTGAGCCCCCTTAATCCTCCTGGGCACTAACATCCCAGCCTCTATACTTCTGCATTGTCTGAATCCTCCTCCAGGTCCTCTCTAGAGGGCTGGGGTCACACACTTCATACTGAGGGAGGATAGAAGAAATAGAAGACAAGTGGAAAAGAGATAAAAGGAAGGAAAACAAGTCTGTGGCTTTAGTCTGAAAGCTTTGGTTAAAATTTCTCATACCTTCTCTCCCCAGGCCCATATCCCTCTAGGCCTGGCCCTCCCCAGTCTAGTTTTTCCCCAGGCCTTTCACTCCCAAATTTCTGGTCAGTCTACAAATCTTCTCTCACAATCTTAAATCTACTACAAATTCACTTGCTTATGAAAATTGCCTTGTACAACGTACTTTTAGAACAGATTAAACAAAGGGAGACATATTTTAAGAAACCTACAGAATAGGGTACTTTTCAAACACTACCTGTCAATCAATTAGAAGAGACAGCATCAACATGAAGATCCTGAGAACTGAAAGACCACCACAAATCGTCTTGTGATTTCCAGGCTGACACCATCCTCACAAACCTTTCCATGCCCACCCACCCTCAAGTTCCCTTTAAAAGAAGAGCCCCAGCAGTCTATGGTGGTACACACTTATAAACCTAGCAACTCAGAAGTCTGAGGCAGGAGGATCACAAGTTCAAGGTCAGCCTCAGCAACTAAGAGAGGCCTTAAGCAACTTAGCAAGACCCTCTCTCAAAATAAAATAAAAAGGGCTGAGGACTTAGCTCAGTAGTAAAGTGCTTGTTTAATATGTGTGAAGCTCTGGGTTCAATCCCCAGTACCAGGGGCAGAGTTGGTGAGGGTGGAGGGGCCTGATACCCCAAAAGGCCACCTCATTCTCAAGAAAGCCCACATCTCCTTTGAATGTGTACTCCTTGCTTTCCTATCTAAATCTCTACTGTGCCTCTGACACATCTTGAAATTCTTTTCTATGACAATTATGAAGGACCCCTTCATCCTGAGTTGAGGTTCACCTCTCTGGAAACTCTTCAGACCCCTGCCAGTAACATTATCAATACCCTTGTTGCCCAGCACAGTGTCCACATAGAGCAGGTCCTGGATAAATGAAAACAGGGCTGAGGATGCGTCTCAGTGGTAGAGCACTTGCCTAGCAAGCATCCACCCTGGGTTTGATCCCCAGCACCACAAAACAAAACAACAACAACAAAGGGCAGGGCAAAGATGGAGTGAATTGCAAAGGGGAACTTGTCCCTGGGGGTCAGTCTGTTGTCAGGAAACCTGTGGCTCTCTCACCAGCAACCAGAGGGTAACTACAGTCAAGAAGCAGTCACTCCAGGTTAAACAAGCTGGACAAGTGTCATATGGCTAGAAAGATCATGTGGTAGAAAAAGGCAGTCCCAGAACTACAGGGGTTAAGCACTTCTTTGGGTTTTTCCAGCAGGATTCTGAGGTGCAATCCCCACCCCTAGACACCCATCAAGGTGGTTTCTTGCACTCCTGAATTCCTCTTCCCAAGGACGGCTTTTCCTGTCCCCTCTGGCCTTAAACTCTTCCCTGGCACCTCATCTAGTCTAGGGATCCTGCCTCCAGTGTGCCATCCTATGATATGGTTAGAGGTGGAGTCCTGTCCAAGACACATCCCTAACCACTGATCACTGAAGCCTCCCTATGAGTCCCCCCCTTGCTGTGTCCCCACCCCTAAGGCCCAGTGTGCGGGGCTTCCTCCCTTGGGAAGTCTCCAACGTGTCCCTCACGGTTAGGGTTCCTATGTGCTTGCTGGACCCTATTTCCCAGTGGTCTTCACTCCCATCCTCCAGGCCCCCTGTCCTGAACCCCGGGGTCTCAAGCGTCCCTGTCGGGTTCTCCTGAGCACCTAAGGCAGCCAGTGCCAACCTTTCATGTTCTCCGGGGGCTCCACGAACTTGCTCGGTATTTTGGTGCGGGACTCCTTCTTGGAACTCCTCATGGTACGGTCCCCTGCTGCAGAGGGGCCCTGTGCTTCGGGGCCCGGAGACCGCGGAGCTGTGAGGTCTCTTTCCACGCCCTCTCCCACCAGCGGCCGCCGCGGCGTCCATAGCAACCAGCGGCCCGCGCAGCTGCGCGCACCTACCGTACAGCTTGGGCGGGGACTGCTTGTTGGCCACTTTCTTCATCGTGCCGCGCCTGCGCGTCCGCGTCCGCGCTCTGACCCGAGAAGGCCTGGGCCGACTCGTGACGTCACGGCAGCGTGGGCGAGCGCGGTGACGTCACCTGCCAGCCTCGGGCCTTTGCGTGCGGGGACAGTTCTTATGAGGCCCTGCTGATAAGCCGGGGTTGGCTTCCTTTTGGCCTTCTGTCCCTTCCCAGGTGAGCCAAGCTTATACCCCGACTTGGGGTCCAAGTCCCTAGAGAGGCTGTCCTTGATTCCCCAGTTAAAAGTAGCCCTTCTCGGTCATCTCAAATTTATGCACCCACCTGCTGTCGCTGCTGCTTCTTTTGTCAGGGTCCTAATGCGTTTTGGAGTTATCTTGTTCATGAGGATGTCTGTGGTCACATTCGCTGCCAGAATGTCAGCTCCATAAGAGCAGGACCGCCTGACCCTTGCCCTTCCTCAAACCCCACATTTAGCACAGAGCAGTTGCTCAGTAACTGTGTCCAATGATGAATGAAGGCTCCAAAGCCAAACGGAACTGGGTTCCTATCGGAACTTCGGAACTTCGCCTGATTGTGTGTTCATGGGCCAGCCCCTTGACCTCTCTGAGTCACTTGTTTTCTTCACTTACATTACCTCCTTCACAAAACCACTGTAAGGATTAAGTGAGTAAACATTTAAAATACCCAACACAGTGCCCACCCCTCACAAACTCTAATGTCTTTTCTGTCAATTCTCAAAACCATGATGGTGTCCAAAGGAGAGAATACTCTGTAACCATTTCACAGATGGAGAAACTGAGCTCCAGAGAGGAAAGGGTGAAAAAAAAAAAAAATCACCAGACTTGCAAGAAGCACAACTTGAACCTGGTTTCCCCAAGTCCCAAGGCACTGTCTCCTGGGCCTTTTATGAGCTCTGTCACAGTTTGCCCTAGACAAAGGAGGAATCTAGGAAAGATGTCAGCTGGGCTGGTCAGTTCCCCTGCGCCCTGAGTGTTCCCCACTCCTTGTCCCCCTCCCCCAAGTCATAGCCCCTTCTCCATGCCCCTCGAGATCTTACACCAGTTGAGACAGAAACATCCACCAAGGGCAGCTTCTCTCCTTCTAAGGCCCAGATACCAGCCTCCCTGCCCCCTCCAGAGTGACTCTTCAGTTCACTCCATGAACATTTACTGGGCACTTATGGTACACCTGGGGGTGCTGTATCACCTGGGTCCTCCAGGAAATAGATACTAAGATGGAGATAGGAGGGCAAGGGATTTATGTCAGAGAGGAGTGGGAAGTATGGTAAGGCTTATGAAAGATGAGAGGGTGGGTATTAAAACAGCATATTTAAAAATAAGACTTAAAAAATGAAGGAGGAGGAAGCCAGCCTGGACCGGGAGAGCCTCAGAGAACTGTAGGTCTGATGAAGTCTAGGTTAACCAGTGTGTCTTCCGGGCAAACAATGTTTGTTAGAGGCTGTCGCCTAAGCAGGGGAACATCAAATTCCGTCTTGAAGGTAGACTCTGGAACAATTCACCTCCATGGCTGCCACAGGAGCTCTGCTGGGGGAAAGTAAGACATGCTTCCTCCTGCCCTCTAGGAGTTCAGAGTCCACCAAGAGAAAAGACGAACACCATGAAACTCTAATCTGTGCGCCCGGCTTCCGGAAGTTCTTTTAACTTCAGGGAGTTATACAGCTTGTGCCTGTCAATGGAGATCAAAGGACAAGGGAAAAAGGGGGTTTCATGGTCAGACAGGTATGCCGCCGGCTGGGCTCTGCCACTAGCCCCTGAGTGACCATACACAGGTCTCATTTCCTCTGTGCCTCATGAAAGTGAACCAGATCAGAGCTGCTTAACCTTTTGAGAATCTGATCAAAGTTAAGAATCTTTCCCCAGAAATGTGCATTTGATTTTTTTAAGGTGGTAAAATGCAGGTAACATAAAATTCACCTTTTTTTTTTTTTGAAGGGGGGTACCAGGGATTGAACTCAGAGACACTCAATCACTGAGCCACATCCCTAGTCTTATTTTGTATTTTATTTAGAGACAGGGTCTCACTGAGTTACTTAGGGCCTCGTTTTTGCTGAGGCTGGCTTTGAACTCATGATCCTTCTGCCTCAGCCCCCCAAGCTACTGGTATTATAGGCATGGGCCACCAAGCCAAGCAAAATTCATCTTTTTTTTTTTTTTTTTTTTTTTGGGGTGATGGTGCTGGGGATTAAACCCAGGGCCTTGTGCATGTGAGGCAAGCACTCTACCAACTGAGCTATATCCCAGCCCCCCAATTCACCATTTTAACATATAAAATTTAGTGGCACTTAATACATTTAGTGTTGTGCAATTGTCACTGCTAACTAGTTCCAGAAGGTTTTTTTTTAATCACCCCCAAAGGAAATCCTGTATGCATTAAGCAGTCAGCCCCAGCCCCTTTCTCCCATCCCCTGGAAACCACAAACTCTGTTCTGTCTTTATTTTATTTTTGCCTAGTCTGAGCATTTCATGCAAATGGAACCATATGCTATTGGGTCTTCTTTTTCTTAGCATGGACTTCAGCCCTTTTTGTGACTGAATAATATTCAGAGCAGCAAAGCCAAGCAGTCTCTTCCCAGGTGGCAACTCTGAGCAGTTCCTTGATCTCAGGGTGGAGGAGGTAACTGGGTTGACAGAAGGCACGACATCAATTATTGCTTAATGTCTGTTTATTTCACCCAGCCAGGTGCTGAGCATGTCATCAACTATTCTTTCCAGAGGCTAAGTCTAGACTGCACCATCCCTGTCCTGGGGACAGCCACCAGCCCAAAGCCCAAGGCTGAAGGTAGTGTCTTCTCAAGCCCCTCACCTCTAGCTTCCCCTCCCCAGTTCACATCACTGTTCAGTCCCCTCCAGTTGCTCCAGCCCACTGCCCTGTCATCTCCATGCCCCCCCCAGCCCCTCCTCCCCACACAGCTGGCTCATCCCTACCTCTGGCCTCACCATCCTCACCTCTGTTTGCCACTCCCCTTTACAGGACACATCACATCACTTGCTCAGGTGACACTGTTCCCAGGATGGACTGACTTTAGTCTCAAGGACGACACACAGACAAGATACCATCCCCTGGCTCAAATCCCTCTTCTTCCCTTCTTGAGAACACAGGTATTTTAGAGGCCACTGGACTAGGTGTTAGGAGCACCAGGGCTTTGGAATAAAACATGGGCTTGCATGTCACCTTTGCTCCTGCCTGGGCTGTCCTCTTTAGAGTGGCAACAGTGTCGCACTCATAGGATTGCTGTCACCCTCTGTTGTCCTCTAGTTTTGTTATTCTCAGAAGTATCACATGTACTTCTGCAGTGTCCCTGTCCCCTGCTGAAGCGTACACTCAGGGAGCAGGGCCTCCCCTGTCAGATCCAAGGTGTACCCCAGTTCTGGGAACAGCCTGGCACACGCAGGCCATCATGGCGGATGGGGCAAGTTGGGGGGGCAGCCTGGAGAAGTGTCAGTGGGCAAGAGGGAGCTGCTTCTTACCACACAGCAGCACCCAAGGGCAAAAACCACAAACCACAGTGACATGTTCTGGAGAGGTTTGCGCTAAGATGACTTTTCTAAGAATCCAAGCTCCCTTCGGGGCATGTAGAAGTTCCAGTCTGGGCTGCTGTCGAGGACATGAGCCAAATAGATGGACATTGGGTTCTGGGGCTCTATGCCAAGCCTCTCCACAAAAAGAAGTTTCTCCTCTGGCATCTCTCCTTCCTTGTCCTGGTTCAGAGAGGTTGCCCACGGAGGGCAGAATCTGGCAAGGAAGCTGGGCCTGAGGAGTTGTCCACCCCACCAGGGAGAAGACTGTTCTAGTGGTACGTGGCTGGGAACTGTAAGGGAGTATGTCCTTAATGACAAGGATTGGGCCTGAGTCCTTAGCTGTGTGACAGGGCGGATGCCTCCTGGGTTTCAACTGATTTTTTTATAGTAGAGTCAGCACAGCCTTAATGGAGCTCCCAGGATCAATTCAAGAAGGAAAAAAAGAAAAAAGGGTGTATCTGCAAGTACTCGGAAAGCCGTACAGATGAAAGGGATTACAGTTAAGACCCAGAACACTCGAATCTACTAATTTCTCTCTAGACAGCGTGGAGGCAGCATAATCACTCCCACAGACGTCCACATCCTAAATGCTGGGGGCCATGAATCTGTTAGCTTACATGGCAAAGAGGACTTTGCAGATGTGATTAAGGATTTGGAGATTTGGAGATTATCCTGGATTATCTGGTGGGCCCTTGGTCATCACAAGGGTCCTTATAAAGAGGGAGGTGGAAGGGACTGAGTCTGAAAGGGGCACGTGACTTGAGCCATGGTGGCCAGGAGCCAGAAAATGCAGCGGCACAGGAGATGCACAGCTCAGCTGTCACCCTAATTTTAGCCACTTCAGACCTCTGATCTCTAGACGTCAGAGAATACATCTGTGTTGTTTTAAGCCACTAAATTTAAGGTCATTTGTTGTGGCAGCAATGAGAAGTAATACAGACATAGTGACAGAAGCACTGTTTCAAATGTGATTCTCCAACTTTTTTTTTCCTTCCCAGTCAATGAAAGCTTCCGTTCTTCCCAAGTTAGCTCAAGGTTTCCATGCCGTCATTAAACAGGTCACTGAATATCTGTCTTGAGTTCCATTTTAGCAGATCATGCCCTACTCGACACACCCAAGTTCAAATCCCAGCTCTGTGATTTTCTAGCTGAATGACCTTGGCTAGGTCACTTGATCTCTCTGAGTCAGTCTCTTCCATGGCAAAATGGGGGGAATGCTATGAGAATTAAATGTGATTTCCTCCAAAAAGTCTTTCTTTTTACAGAAATTGAGTCATGTCTGGGTTACAGACAAAATACTGAATTCCCAGTTAAATTTTAATTTTAAATAAATAACTTTGACGGGAGCTGGGGGAGCTGGGGATTGAACTCAGGGGCACTCAACCACTGAGCCACATCCCCAGGCCTATTTTTTGTATTTTGTTCAGAGACAGGCTCTCACTGAGTTGCTTAGCACCTTGCCCTTGCTGAGGCTGGCTTTGAACTCATGATCCTCCTGTGTCAGCATCCTGAGCTGCTGGGATGACAGGCATACGCCACCGCTCCTGGCACTAAATAAACAATTTTTAATGTAAGTATGTCCCATGCAATATTTGGAACATATACTTACACCAAAAATGTACTCATTGTTTATCTGCAATTTAAATGTAATTGGGTGTCTGCTGTTTTAAACCTGAGAAACTTAGTCTCATCCCAGCTCAGGGAGCTTGCGGGGAACAGAGCTAAGGCTCCCTCTCAGGTCTTCCAACCCCAAGGTCAGTGAGCATCCTGCTCTACCACAGACCTGACCTTAAGTAGAGTCCCTGAGCCACATGACAGCTGGACTTAACCAGTGGAGACTTAAATAATAATCTGAGCTTTAGAAACCCGTTTCATACTTTAAAGATATTTAAAAAAAAAAAAAAGAAAAGAAAATTCAAATACAAATTAAATGCTTGTATGTACACATATACCACAAAAGCATGTAAAATCAACAAGTATGCATATGAAAGAAGGAAGAAATTATATGCTAATTCTTCAACCAATATTAAATATGTGAATTCAATCTCTAAAGGCAATGCTCCATTTAGAATTGTTTTTCCTTTCTGCCTTACCTGGACCAACCCTCAAATTGGCAACTAACTACTGAGGGTTTACGTGAACTGAGCAGCCTTCTGAACATTTTATTGTACTGATTCATTTTTTTTTAAAAAAAAAAAGTTAAGATAGCTGGGCGTAGTGGCACATATCTATAATCCCAACAGGATGCTGAGGTAGGAGGACCACAAGTTTGAGGCCAGCCTTAGCGACTTAGTGAGACTTTGTCTCTAAATAAATAAATAAAGGGCTGGGAATATAGTTCAGTGGTAAAATATCCCTGGATTCAATCCCCAGTGCTGAATATATAAACAAATGAGACAATTCACATAGCATAAAATTTTATATAACACAGACTCCACCACTTTAAAGTGTACAATTCAGGGTTTTTTTTAGAGTATTCACAAGGTTGTGCAATCATCACCACTATCCAATTCCAGAACACTTCCCTCACCCTCAAAGAAACCCTATACCCATTAGTCATTCCAATTCCTTCTTCCTTCCTAGTCTCTGAAAACCACTAATCTACTTTCTGTCTCTTTCTGGACATTTCGTGTCTATGAAATCATACAATAAGTAGCCTTCTGTGCCTGGTTTTACTTAGCATAATGTTTTCAAGGTTCATCCACATTGTATGGACATCATTTCTTTTTATTGCTGAATAATATTCCATAGCATGGATAGACCACATTTTCTTTACCCGCTCATCAGTCGATGGGCACTGGGTTGTTGCCATTTTGTGGCTATTACGAAGAACACTGCTATGAACATTGGTGTACAAGGCTTTGTGTGACCATATGTTTTTCATTCTCTTGGGTGCATACCTAGGACTAGAGTTGCCGGGTTACATGGTAACTCTAGATTTAATTTTTTGAGGAACTACAAGGCTGACTTCCACACAGGTGGCACCATTTACATTGCCATCAGCAGCATCCACAGGTTCCAACTTCTCCACATACTCGCCAGCACTTCTTTTTCTTTAAAAATATACTGTAGCTGGGCACGGTGGTACACACACCCGTAATCCCAGCAGCTCAGGAGGCTGAGACAAGAGGATTGTGAGTTCAAAGCCAGCCTCAGCAACTTAGCGAGGCCCTAAGCAACTCAATGAGACCCTGTCTCTAAATAAAATACAAAAAAGGGCTGGGGATATGGTTCAGGGGCTGAGTGCCCCCGAGTTCAATCCCTGGTACCAAAAAAAGAAAACAAACAAAACAAAAACCCACATTGTGCCCATCCTAAGTGTGTAGTAATATCTCACTGTGGTCTGGAGTTACATTTCCTTCATGGCTAATGATGTTGAGCTTCTTTTCATGTGTTTGTTGGCCATTTGTGTTTATTATTAGAAATGTCTATTCAAAGTCTTTGCTCATCTATTTATTTTGGTACCAGGAATTGAATCCAGGGGCACTTTACCACTGGGCTACATTCCCAGCTTTTTATTTTTTTAATTTTGAGACAGGGCCTCGTTCAGTTGCTGAGATTGGCCTCAAGCTTGTGATCCTTTGCCTCAGCCTCCGAGTCTTTGGGATTACGGGGTGTACTACAACACCTGGCACCTTTGCTTGTTTCTTAATGGGACTGTCTTTATTGTAGAGCTGAAGTTCTTTATTTATAGTGGATAGTAAACCCTTATCAGAAATGTGATTTGCAGTATCTTCTGTAAATTTATCTTCTCTTTTCTAACCCAGGCCCTTGCACATGCTAGTTAAGTGCTCTATCACTGAGCTATATCCCCAGACCTTTCCTTTATTTTGAGACCGGGTATCACTAAATTGCCCAGGACGGCCTCAGGCTTTTGATCCTCCTGCCTCAACCTCCCAAACAACTGGAATTATAAGCATGTGCCATCGTGCCTGACTTCTTTTACTTTCTTGACAGTGTCCTTTGACATGTAAAATTTTAAAATTTTGGCAAAATCCAACTTAACCTATTTTTCTTTGTTTTAGTAATGAGTTATACCTTTTTCCTCCTTTTTTCCCTTTTTTGTGGTACTCAGGATTGAGCTCAGGCGAGTTTTACCTCTGAGCTATAGCCTTAGCCCTTTTTATTTTGAGAGAGGGTCTCACTAAATTGCCCAAGCTGGCCTTGAACCTGTGTTCTTCTTGCCTCAACTCCCCGAATAGCTGGGATTAGAGGCATGCGTCACTGATCCTGGCAAGTACTAACTTCTTAAATGTTCACAGCAATCACATAGAGAATATCATTAACACCCCCATTTTTCAGGATAAAAAACTGAGGCACAGAAGGGTTAAGTCTAAGAGGATTAGCAGCAAATGGGCAGCAAAACTGGGATCTCAATTCGGCCTCAGCCCAACCACTCAAGCTGGGGTGCACAAGTGGGACCCACACATTGTCCCAGGACCTACCAACCTTGCTCAAGATTAGGATTGTCAGTTTAACAGTTTGCATAGCTCTTTTGCTCTTCATGAAGATTAAAGGGTCCATGCTTGGTGGGGCTAGGAGGAGGGGCGTTTCCATGGCAACTTCCTCAATGCTCTAAAGTGGCTGAGACCTCATTGGTGCTGCTAAAACCCTCAATAAAGGGCTCTGGCCTCTCGCTGAGGTCTTAATTA